GTCTGTCACCTCCTCTTCTCTGTCCTCTTAAATCGCGGGGTAACTCTTTCCTCCTCTCTTCCATCCATCTTTAATTTGAACTATTCTGCCTCTTGTTGTTTTTGAATTCTTTACCCTCAGCTCTACTTTCCTACCAGCCTTTCCGTTCCAACTAAGGTGACCTTGTCTCCTCTGCCGCCCTGTGCTCCCACTCTCTTTCATTTGGCATCCTATTTTCTAGACAGAGCATTTTTATTCACTACTTTGCTCTGAGGTCTCAATGTTTCATATATTCAGCAGTTGTTAGCCCTCTTCTTTCCAGACCTTGTCATTTTTTCTTTTTATTCCCTTTTCCACTGTTGTTTTTTCAGCGGCTCCGTCCCTCGAGTCCTGATAAACTGCCTTCCTTCCTCACCCTCTTCTTTACTCTCCTTTTCGCTGCTTCCCTCCCTCGTTCCTTTGCTTTCTGTCTGTTCTCTGGTCGTTGTCGTCCTGAGTTTCTCTTTTTTTCCTTCCTTCCACTTTGTTCACCGCTGTTTCCTTTTTTCAGTCTCATGTTTTGTTTCATTTGCTTTTCTTTTCTTTCATTCTTTCATTAGCTCTTCCTCCCTTTTCTTCACCGTCTCAGCTCCTAGTACAGACATATTAACACCACCACTTTGGAGCAGTTCGTGTCCATGTTTCATCCTTGTTCTGATGATGCTCCAGCCACTGGTTCGAGTCCAGCTGATGACAAACGTCTGCCTGCTGTGAAGGACTCTGCTGAATCAGGAAGAACCAGGCGGCTCGGTGGGACATTAGCGATGGATACATCAATCTCCTAAATGAATCAAAGCTAAACCAACATCTGCTGTTTGGCAGATGCTTTCATCGGAAGCACCTCCTACAGGAAACAGGTCCGGGTCTGGCTTTACTCTGGGTGTCAACCGAACCTGTAACTCTACAGCAAAATCTGATCTGATGGCCAGTTAATACCAGAGTGTGCATCACCAGTGTCTAGCTGGCCTTGTTGCTGTGGAGCCAGATTTCTTTATGTTTGTGTAATGTGCGCTTCTGATCGGATGTTTCAGTCATTTCCAGATGAGGTGGCACGCCGGTGCCTCGTTTAATGCCTTGCTTTGTATGCTGGGCATAGTGTGCCTTTGTACTGCACTTTTTATTAGATTTTGCTTATTTTTTAGCAATATACCTTTGAATAAACCCGTGTTCTTCCCATGAACACTGCCTGCTGGTCAAAACACTGCTAATGAAACTGAATGGAGCTGTGATTACACTGTGTAGGCATTCCTTACACTGTAGTGTTTTTCTGGTACACATAATTATGTCTTGTATAATATATCTTTAGCAACATTAATATGGCATTTTATAATTGCACTGTTTCCTAAACTCTCTCTCTAACTTTCCCAGTAGGACAACGGATTAATACCAACCTTGGCTAGCTATGGTAAATTTGGAACATTGTTTATTTGTGTTCATTAAAGCACCAATTAAATCGTGTGTAATGAGATGCTTCTGTTACAGGGCAATCTGTCATGATGTATGAGGTGTATAACTAACAGCTGAGACGCGCCGAGCCGACATCAAAGAACTGGCGGCGAAGAAGGGCTGACTGTAGTGTCTCCTCACGTCTGGGCCAAACAGCGACAGCTGACCAAACTGCACAGCCAGGGCCGACTATTACGTACGTTCTGCACCTCGGTGAGAGATATACCTCCCCGTAACAGGAGGTGGCGTAGCCTGTATTTGCAACATGTGCTCAGAGACGGCCGACCGTTGGCTCAGTGTGCTTCTGAGTACATTTTCACTAGCATCAAGTGATTTGCCAAACATTTCTCACATTATCAAAAGCTCCAGGACAGATGCTAAATGGTGAGATGATTTTCTCAACTGCTTCTTTAAAGGTCAAACATGAACATGGAGCATCAGCATTTGAGCCCACATGCATGAGAAACCTAACATCAACACTTCCATTATCAATCATCTGTGTTAATCTCAGACTGGACTCACATCTGTAAGAATGAGCAGTGCAGCCAGATAAGCTGCTTCTGTCGGTTTATCGGTGTAAAGCTCATATTCACATAAACATAAAATGTCTCAACTGCTGTTGAAAGAACCGAAGAGCAAGAAAATAAGTTCTCATGACAGTTTTCAAAAGCCTGGGAACACAGATCAGGTCAAATCTGGGTATAAACCG